GTTATCCCACTGGGCTCCCTTTCAAATAAAGTTGTCTTAACTGGTTCCTCTCCACTGACACCCTTTGATGATCTGTTCCCCATGGTGGATGAGAGGTCCTGCATGGAATACGAGAAGCCTGACTTTATGTTTTCTCTGTTAAATGGATTTGAATAAGAAAGCTCAGACTAACAGGAAGAGTTCACACTCCAGTGCACAGACGAGCAGTCGGCGTGCATTACAGATCCCGCACAGCCCTTACCTTCACTGGTCGCTCTTGACTGGTTCTACCCTCGTCTCGGCATTATCAGCGTCCATATGAACGAGAAACCAGGAGACATCTGACGTTCACGACACTGATGTTGAAGGTCCATTAGAAACGAAGAACGACACCGAAGCGAGAGGATCATCCTCCCTCGCGCTCTGTGGTCGTTTTTAAAGAACCGCCTTAACGGGATGTCGAGTTTAAGTAGCAGATTCAGCTAGCACAGTGTTTACAGTTTGCTAAAGAAGTAACATAATCCAACGTTTAGCTATACGATTCTTGAGATTTATTTACCAATGATCTTAAAAATAGTGTGACTATTGCGTAATTAAATGACACGAAGACGGAATGGAGATGTATGATCTTGTCAAATGGACGACTCTTTGATTAGCCAAAGCTTTCCGCCTGTTGTGGTGTTCCCGCCCCCTGCTGGACGGGAGGGTGAGCTCACGTTCGCCTGTTGCTAGGAGACGGAGCGGCTCTCCGACAAGCGCATTTAAATATTAATGGCTTACCCGAAAAGTTTGTTATAACTAGGCGGCGGTGATATCGGTATGTCTTCAGATTTTTGCAGATTTAATGACGACCTAATCTTTCCGAACAAATACTGCCCAGCCGGGAGATTACAGCGCCGGAGGATTGGTTTGACAAGAAACCTCAGAGCAGCGGTAAAATAATTAGCTTAAATATACGAGCAAGCTATGCTAACGCTGACATCTGCTCTTGACTTGAGCGAGACAAAGCTCAAGTAATTAATTTGTTTTTATTATATTATGTTTTATTGTGATATTTGTTGCACAATTTAATGCAATTACAAAATATGCAAAGTTTTATTAGCCCTCTGTTAAATCAAATATTTTAGTAATTAAAATTAGAGGCAGCAGCAACATTTTACACAGATGTACTTATTACATTAAGTTAATGTGTGAATAAAGTTGTGGTAATTTATAAATCAGCTATAAATAAATACAACTAATTAAAACTTTGAATAACTTATAACACTGTTAAAACACTTAGTTTAGGGAATGTAGTCTAGATTTACTGCTGATCACATGTAATTTATGCATTTTTTTTATTTA